AAGGGGAAAACAATGTGAGCATGCGTGGATGGTGTGGAGATGTAAATTGCCTCCAGGCTTGGTGAACCTGTGAGACAACGTGGAGGAAGAGCTTTCAAAACATTCTGGTGTTGTAGGATGGGTTATTTGTGGTACGGACGATGAGGAAGTGCATTAAAATAATAATTAAAGATCCTCTTAGGGATTTTATATGGCCCCTTTGTCAGCTTGAGTTATATACTCTGCTTATCTGGAATGTGGGATTGTGGCTGTGAAGCCCCCTATTATTAATCGGAATTGCCTGAATAACGCTCTAGGCACCAGAATTGCCTCCTAGTCAGATAATTTGCATCATTTTTATCGAGGCTTTGTGTGTTTTTATACTCACACAAAGTGTGAATGCAGGAATGTAACACATTTTTCTCACCAGCTTGCTCAGCTTGGACTGCTAAAAGACACAGATTCACCTTGAGTGGAGCAACTTAGGCCCAGCTTATAGAAGGGATCAGTGTTCTTGGTGTTAACAGGCAGTTCAAGCATAATTTCTTGCTGAATTACTTTCTTCAGCATTGGGATGTTTTGTCTGTTCCTTTGTCAGCTCTAAGAGATACTGCAGTATTTTATTTCCTGATGGCCTCAATACACAAAAATGTATTAAAGTGATCCACAACTCAAATGTCTTTACTTGCAGCTCTCTCCTCATATCTGACTGTATTTGCAGAAAAGAATAATGAATGTAACAACAAAATGGGCACGAACAACCAATTACTAATGATTGGAAGGAGACTGGGCTTGCTGTAAATGTTTCTTATTTACATATAAATCACAAATGCTATTGATTTGATTGAATTCTCTCTTCTTCCTTCTTTTCCCAAGGAGAGCCGAAGCTAACAAGCCCCAAACCACTTTCCATATTCTAACTTCACAACACAGTCCTGAACTGACAAACCTGCTTACTTAGTTTTATATTAAGCAGGATGGAGGCTCTTGTTTAAACATTTAAGTCACACCATGGTTCAAACATGAGGGGCTTGGTTGGGTTGCAGCTCTGACCTCATGGCCTCCATCAAGAGCAGCTCAGGTGTGAGCGCTCCTCCCTGATGCGCTTTGGTGGCAGCTCTGTGCTCTGCCTCTTGTTAACTGCTGACTCTTCCTCTCTCCACGCCACACAGGTTCCCCTGCCTTTGCTTTTGTTGGCAAAACTGTTTAGTTTTATAACAATGTGCCGCAGCAATCATGGATGGGCAAAAATAACAGGAGCTGCTTGCTTCTCTTCCCCGTGGATAGTGGGAACATGAGTTCAAGCTGGGATTCAGTCCGTAGTGTTTCAGTGCCAATAACAAGGAATCATTGCTTCAGGGCAAATGGAAGTAAATGCACACAGAGGATGAAGACCTCAGGTCTTTGGTAAATTGACTGCAGAAGTTACGTGCATTTGTGTTCTTGGGTCACCATCTGACTGCAGTTTCTTCTAACTCATTCAATGGAACTGGAGTTTGTTAGGAGAGGATTTTAGGAACCAGGCTGGAGTGGCTCTGCAGGAGTAGCTTTATTCAGGACTCCTGTATTGACAGTGAATACCAAAGTCTCATTTCATATACAGCTTGTCCACTCTCAGCCATACAGTCATATCCCTGACAGCATATAACTGGTTACAGATGGGCTGCTCCAGCTCAGTGTTGGTGGCTGCAGCGTCAGAGATGCAGATCGAGGTGGCATTACAGAGATGTTTAATGCAGCATGGGCTGAGTTTGAGGCCATTGCTAGAAAACTCCCCAGATCTGGGAGCTGGGCATGTGATGGAACCTCAGCACCTCCTCATAAGGACAAGAATCTCCTCTTGTAATGAGAGTTTAAGAAGTTCAGATCCGCATCCAAGTGCTGCAACACTTGGGGGCCTCCAGAGCCAGGGCTTTTACATTCATCCCATGTTGTTCAGGCAGTGAAAATGGCCCATGTTCCCTTCTATGCTTCTGTATTTAAATCATGGATTTGGCTGCAGTAATTATTGCTGGACTACAATCAGCCCATGCCCTTTTGCCACTGATAGGAAAAAAAAAAAGTAGGTAAAGAGCAGGACATCAAAAGCAGCTGATGCAACACTGCGTTGTCACTGTTACAACATATACCTTTATGGGACTGCTATTCCTGTGTGTAACTTGAAAGCGGGTGATTTAAGGCAGAGGGCATTGCAAATCTGCAAACAAGTGGAACTGCTCTGAGGTGTGACGGGATCATCCAGCAGAGAACCTATTTTCTGCCTGAAAGTAGTAGCCTTGGAGTCAATTGACTTCAAAGCGGTGATGTGCCACTAAAACAGGAGAATGCTCTGATCATCTTTTGTGCAGTCAATAATCGTTTAAGACTGACTGTTGGTACCCAGGGAGTCGCACCTGTGTACGTCCATAGGTTACACAGCATTGTTCTGAGCAGAATAAAAGCAAACACTACTTCTCAGAAGGCTGAATGTCGAACTCCCACCGCGTTCACCACACTGAGGTGGTTTTTTTTTTACTTAAAATGTTTGCTGTCTCATTTCCTTCAAGCCTACTGGATCTAAAAAGATAGACAAGATGTAAGTTAGTGCTGTGCTGTAAAACAGGTACAGATTGGTTGCTAGCGTGTTTTTTAATCCTGCATAGATTTTCAGCAGTGCTTCAAATAGTGGCTGTCACGAGGCGTGAAACAACACCTTTTCAATATGTGATTTAAGCAAGCTTTCTTTGTGTGTCATTTCCCCAAGCACTGTGAATGTTGTGACTGTACATCCCAAGTTCTCCCTGCCAAGTTGACTGTGGCTGTGCGAGGAGCTGCCGTGCGATACGCAGCTCCGTTGCTTTGCAGAGGTATCCTTACTCTTAGCACAGCTTAGCTTTTGGCAAGCTGATAGGTTTCCCCAGCTCTCGCTCCCCCATCAGCCACAGCACAGAGTTTGGTTGCTCTGAAATTCTCCAGCACAGGATAAACAAAACATTAACGTCTCCCTGTGTCGTTTGTGGGTCTCTGGCAGCAGAAGTGTTGTGCTGACCAGTAGTGTTCAGTCCCTGCTAGTGCACACCAGGAGCCAGCTCACACGCCGGGTTGCTGCTTGTGCAGGCTCTGGGCTCTCAGCTCGACTCTCCTTACATGTTCATCTGCATCAATTTAGCTGCTCATCTGCCTCCAAATTTATTACGAATGCTCTGCATCTGTGATACAGACAAGATTTCTGACACTGAAATAGTTAACTGGGAAAGAAACGCAGCGGTGATCTTAGGAGCTACTTGTTTGTGTGCTTCATTAGTGGGAAGGGTGCAGTGTTGTCCCTTGGTAAGTGACTGAGCCACGCTGCTGCTCCCTGCTGCCTTTTGGTTCTGTCTGCGTGCGGTCAGGCTGGGGAAAGGCTTTCACTCCAGATTACAAACATTTGGAGCATCCTCTTAAAATATATTCGGCAGTAATAATTACGGAGCCCTAAAGAACGCATCTCCCATCAAGGGCATTGTGATGTCCTTACCAACAGGGAAAAAAAAAAAAAGCTTATTTAGTGTCAGCCTTCTCCAGTGAGCTCATTCTGGGCAGCAGTATGCTTTAAATGCAGTGCAACAGCACCTTAAACTCGAGGGCGGTAATTTTATTTTACAGCTGCTCATTAGGAGCACTCAGATTAGCAATGTACATCATGTATTTCCACTGAAGCCAAGGACTGTGCCACCACTGTATGGAACAGGGCTGTGGGTGACAAAGTAGTGATGTCTGGGCTCTGACAGATCTCCATCCGAGCTGCTCGTGTGCACTGGTAATGCCAGAACAAAATGCAGCTTTTAACTTGCACCTGCTTTTTGGACTTGGGGAACAGAATTGCTGTAGTGAGAGGAAGGCAGAGGCATGCTGGTAGGACACCCCTCGGCCTCTCCTGGGGAATGTGTTCCTTCTCCTCCACACCGGTTGTTTCTACTAGAGGTGTTTGTTTGCAGTGTTGCATTAAATGCAGCACATGGCTCGGATGGTGACAGCCATGTGATTTCAGCGAGGAGTTCTTCATCCAGCAGCGAGATTTTAACCTTGATATATACAGCACTGCTGTCAGCACTGTGATTACGAGCAGTAATCGCCAGCGTACACTTAAGCATAGGGATGAATCTCCTTTCTATTAGGCATGACCCGTTTTGTCTTTTCTCACTACTTTCCAATGTTTCATAGAAAAATATAACGCTGCTGAGGGGTGGGAAAATCAGCTCCGTGCAAACTTCCTGACCACAGACCTCAGGAGCAGAACCCTCCCCGCAGCAGCTGAGCCCCCCAAGGTCAAACCCAGCGCTCCACCACCTCCACATCCCACGGCAGCGCTGGGGCCCGTGGCCAGGCCCTGGGGGACGGCAGTGCGAGCTTCAAGCCGCGCTCTCTGCATCCCCGCTGCTCCGCGTCCCCCTGCCGCCTCCCCGCCGCCCTGTGCAGCCTGCACCCCTCGCTGCTGGGAGCTCCTGACCTCGATGCTCGGCGTCCCGTCTGCCCGCTGCGTTTCCACCCCGTCTCCCATCGAGCGGTGCTGGTGACGGGGGCTCGGAGCGTTAAGGGCACGTTCCCAGGCGAGGAGCTGCCTCCCAGCACTGCTCGCCCGCAGAACGGTGGCCTTGAGGTGGAGGCGGTTTTAGAGCCGGTTTGCCCCGAAGTGCCACACCGCAAGTTGGGCGCTGCGCGAGGATCTCTCGGCGCCGAGCGAAGGAGCGGCGGCAGCTCCTCGCGACCCTTCCTAGGCTGGGCTCCGCTCTCCGCGCCCGCTCGGCGCCGTGCCGCCGGCTCTCCCTGCTGTTTCCCGGCGGAAAGCGGCGGTGCCGGCACGCACGGTGCGCATCTTCCCTTCTCCGCCGTGAAAGTTGGAGCGCGCAGCGGCTGCCAGGCGGCTCCGGATTGCGTAACGGCGGAGCTCCGCGCTCAGCCTCGGAAGTTTCCCCCATAGAAACGGGGACGCGCGGCGCCCGCAGCGCTCCCCGGGCTCGGGGCAGCCCACGCCGGGCGCCGTTCCGCGGCGGGTCCCTTACCTCGTGCTCCTCACTGCCGGGCGCGGGTCTGGGCGCTCGCTGGGCGCCGCATCTCCCTCCGGGCGCCGGGGCGGGCTGGCGGCGAGAAGCAGCGCGGCTGGGGCCGCAGGCTGCCCCCGGCTGGCCGCGCTCCGCCCGCCCCGAGCGGCTCTCGGTACCGCTCAGCTGCGGCCGCCGGAGCGCTCGCTAGAGGCAGCCGCCGCCGCCGCGCTCTCGCCCGCTGCCCTCATCGGAGCCCGGCGCTGCGTTGCGGAGACGGGGCTCGGGGGGCGGCCGCTCCGGCAGGTGCCCGCGGCGACGGCGGGGGAACTTGTTGAGCGGGACCGCGGTGCGCCCGGCCGGGCTGCGCGGGGCTGAGCGGCAGGAGGGAGGGAAGGAGGAAGGGAGGGAGGAGCCGGGGGCCGGGCCGGCGGCGGGGAGCCACCTCGGAACGGGGAGGAGGGAGGGAGAAGGGAGGAGGGAGCGGTGCGGGGGGCGATGGGCGGTGGGGACGGGGTTGCGCTCGGAAATCCGTAATTGGGGCCGGATTCGACGGTGACGGATGGGGTTGGGAGCAGCGTGCGCTGCCGCCCTGGTTGGCTGTGTACCCCGTATTTCGTTGCGCTCCTCGGCCGGGAGTGCCGGGGAGACGCGGGTCTGCCGCTGTGCCCGTGGGGCCTCGGGGGCTGGGAGGATGCGCGGGGGCTTCTGAGTGCTTTCATACAGCGGATAAAAGGGGTACGAGCTGAAGGTAATCGCTACAGGGTTCTTACAACTTCACTCCCATCTCCCTCTCAAACCACACTATTGCTTTGCAGAGGCCTTAGCAGAGACACGCGAAAACCGTGTTAAAAGGAGAGGGGTCAGGTGCACGAAGGCAGGCCTGCCCGTCAGCAGATGCCACAGCAGTCCCCCAGCCTAGGCAGCAGCACTCTGCCCTTTCCCTTCTGGAACACCCCCATAGCACTGCTGTTCCCCAGGTGCTGCTTTTGTCTCCTTTTAGCACAGCATGAACCTCAGAGCCCGATGAGGCGGTGCAGCCGCGCAGTGCGATGCAGCAGAAGCACTGGCTCAAGTCCTGGACATCTTTTTAGAGTTAATTAACTGGAGCAGACCATTGCACCAGCGAGCTCACACTGCTGCTGCTGTAGCTCCGTATTTGTGCCAGCTCTGCTATCTCTGCACAGGGACACAACCCAGCAGTGGGTGCAGAAATCCTTGCGGCCCCATTTGTCACGTAAATATCAGTGTGGAGGTGGATTCGCAGAAATCCTTGCCTCTTAAATCAGGATTTAGCTGCTCAGGGCTGGAGCAGAGGGAGGTATAACACACCACGCAGTCAGCAGAGGGCAGTTCTGCTGCTCTCCTTATCCTCTACCTGCCCCGGTGCTCCCTGGACCTCCTCCCTCTGTGCCTCAGCTCTGCAAGTTTACAGCTCTGCAGCCACACCACAGGGCTCGGAGCTCATAGCATGGCAAAGATTGCAGTTTGGGATCTCTCTGGGTTTCTCAAAGGAGATCTTGTCATGAAGAGACAGGTGGGAAGAACTTCAATGCCAGCTTGCTTGAAAGAGCAACCAACACCGTGCTTTTTGGTTTCTGTTTTCATCAGCACTGATACGCTTTACTCCAAGACCTCTGCAGGTTTCTTTACTCTGAAATACAATTGGCTTTGACTGTAGCCAGTGTATAAGCTTGGGTAAAATTGAGTGGTGTGGTGACCACCTTCTAAATGCGTATGCTGTTTGGGCAGAAGAAATTGATCATCTCGAGCAGACAGTGTCACTTTTTCACCAGCTGGACACGTGAGCAGTGCAGCCTGCATCCCACAGACCAGGACTGCTGCCTGAAAAAGCTGTGGCTGTGTAACCTTAGTGGCTGGAAGGGGAAAGCCCTCTGACAGAGGCAGCAGTTAAAAGAGCATTATCATCTTCTCCACGATCACATTTAGAGGCTGTTGTGCCAGGGCTGATTGTTCTTGCACAGCATTACACGTATGTCTCATTTATAAAGGTAGGCAACTGAATGACTTTTGTTCTTCCTGGTAGATTTTGTGAGAATCAGGAGGGTCTTTCCAGCTGCAGTTCATATTCCTGTTTGCTCTGTGTGTGTATACTGCTTGCACGGTTGGTGTGAAGCATTGCTACGTTGTACCCGGGTTCCAATTAATCATGCTTTGTGAAAAATGACGTGATTCCCTGATTATCATGCTCCGCGTCACTGTAGGTGTGTATAGAAGTAAAGATGTTGGCAAAATGGAGATGCTTCATCATCCCATTTGCCAATTTTTCAGCCTTTAAAAGATGCTGAGTGCAACTGTGCTGTAATGAAAGGTGTCAACATTATTCTTGAAGAGGCAGAGGGAGTTCTGACTTCAAACTGTAAAGGCGCAAAGAGAAAAAAGACAATTTATTACTATTCCTTAAAGTACAAATTCATTTTGTTTTAATGGAGCGTCCAATCTTCGCATATTGCCTTTTTCTTCGGGCACTTGGCAGGAAGGAGTGAGTGCTTCCCAGGGCCCTGATGTGTGGCTGTGCTGGTGGAAGCCCCGCATTGGATCTGGCTGTGTCTAGGAGCAGTAGGGCATGAATGTGGTGGTACCTCTGCTCAGATAGAGAACCACTACAGGAAGGGGTCCTCCCTGCAGACACCCGAGGTCAGTTGGATGGAGCTGGATGGAGTTCTGAGCACTTGATTAAGCCATGAGCATCCCTGTTCATTGCAGGGGTTGGACCTGAAGCCTTTAAAGATTTCAGCACGTGCCCTTTTGGCTGCCAGCAGTTGGAGCAGAGGCTCCGTGCGCTCATTCCAGCTGCACAGGTTTTGTCTAGTGAGAAGCAGGAGGACTGCTCACTGTGAGCACTTTGAGCAGGTGCTTCGTATGATTATGCTCTGCTAGAACATGCAGGACCTGCAGTGCAGTGCTAAGATGTGATTTTCTGTAGTTCTTGTAGTTCTTGTCTGTCCTTGAGAAAATGAGCTTGAACCCAGCTCAGGGAGAAGTGAGAGAGGGCAGCCTCAGTTATCTGCCAGGTGTTTCAGCTGCCACCAGCATGAAAAAGGTGATCATCCACACCAAAGTCATTTTTAAAGGTAATGTTTGGACTTCCCTTAGAATAAATGTGCATCATACGCTGAGGTCCAGATCCTGGAAGAAGTTTAGAGTCCTATCAGAAGGGGAAAAGACAAAAATAATCTTGTGCCAAATGCACAAGTGTGTGACAGGAGAGCAGCTGCTGGCTCAGACTGAGGCTGCCATGGCCTGCTCCTTTCCTGCAGGACCTCCTTCTCTTGCATTTCTCCTCCCAATCATCCCATTTCACGTGGGACATTTTAGTGCTGGCTGTTGCTGAGGGTATCAGCCACGTGCTCTGGGTTCTGTCCGTGTGGAGCTGCCCATGATGGAGGGGATTCAGCCCTCCAGTGGCATAGTTGGCACTTCCTGGTGGTGTGGGTTTCAGTTGATTTGGTTTTGTTGGTTTGGATTTGTTGGATTTGTGAAACGTGAGCTTCTGTCTGCCTCTTGTAAATTAAGTAACTTTCATTAGAGGGTGCTAATTGCTGTGCTATTCCAAAACACACGTCAGGCAGCTTACCAAGAGTACATCATCATTTTTGGAACTAGTTAATTTATCACAGGACCTTTCAGGCTTCTTTTTAGTTGAAAGATGGGCGAGTGTTGTTTGATTTGAGACAGGTAGGCACAAACAGTGTTTTGCCTTCTCACTCCGAGTCGTTTGGGACCAACGCTATCATTCCATCCTTGCGAAACCACGTGTGTTCATATCACCGAGGCTTCATCTGTGTGAAGGAGGTTGTTACTTCCATTCCTGTGTATGAGAGCTGTGATGTGTTCTATTCTGAACCCGTTATTTATTTATTTGCTTGAACCTGCCAGGGGAAGAAAAATGGAAGAGCATTAAATATGCTGCTCTCCTCCAGCTGAGGAGAATGCACACTTGGCTGGAATTTCAAGCAGGTCCTCATGCAGTCCCATCCTGAGAGGTGCTCTTTGCATCGAGGAAGAATATGGCTGTGATGACAAAGAAATAAGGTCTCTCAGAGCCTTACAGTTTGGCAAAATTTGAGATACTTATTTGGGTGTCTTACTCTGGTATAACTTGTATTCCATGAGCTTGGACAATTCGATCTGAGACAGTGTTTATGTCGGTTCTTTATCTATGAAGCACGGGTAATTGCACATCTGTTAACTTAGAGGAACATTTTGAAGATAAAGGGGATTTAAGATTATAGTACCCATAATACCTGTGTGCAGCTGAAATATTAAATAGCTGATGAAGTGAACTGCTGTTTTTGGGTGTTGTGCTTGAAAAAGAAAAGTGCTGAGTAACATCGTTAGCTCTGATGATAATTTCTGTACTTCCTTGGTATAAATATGAGCAGGATTTGGACCCCTCTTAATTTCCCTTTGCACAAATCACTGGGAGAAAAGCACAACGGATCTTAGCATCTATAGCTCAGGTTTCAAGTTCAGGTTGCACGCTGTCTCATTAGGAATCCAAATTGCCATGGATGTTAGCTTATCCTTCACATGAAGAAGGAGGACCTCAATTTGTTGGGGTGGAAGGATTTTTTTTCACTGCGTTTGTAGTTCAGGAAAGTTACTGTCCAGTGTGTAGATGTTTGTGAGCAGGAGAGTAAATTGATAATTGGAAATCATAGAATCACAGAATGGTTCGGGCTGCAAGGGACCTCAAGGATCATCCAGTCCCAACTCCCTGCTATGGGCAGGGACACCTTCCACTAGACCAGGTTGCTCAAACATACACTTAACTAAACAGAATTCCCTAAATAAAGCTTGGCAGAAAATGCCATGAAGGAAGGTTTGAACTTTGTTCTTTCACTACCATTAATCTTATGCTCTTGTGCTGAGATTACAAGAAAGGGTACACGATACAATCTGCTGTGCATCGTTTACATTCATTAGCTCTGCCTCTGTTAGTGCATGAGAATGCAGATGCAACATTCCACTTCTGCAGCAGAAGAGGTCCAACAGTGGCAGTTCCTGGTTGCTTTCAAAGTCACGCCTCCACCATGACCCTGACAACACAGAGGACCCACTTCCAAACTCCTGAGATTATCAGATAGTCTCCTGTCGTATGTACGAGTTGCTGAACCACTACCTAATAAAGATGCACCCCATAGATGCAGGATTCTGCACTGATTGAGTTATCATGCAGCCTGTATGGTTAGGAAATAAATGAGGGTCTGGGAGACCGTGATGTATGATGCCCTAAATGCCTACATTTTGTTCATATTTGAAAGGCAGTTTAGCTCATCGTCATTACTGATGATTTGTGCTTTTATAGGCCTTCCTTTTGCATTTCAGAAATCCTCTG